AAAGTGGGATATAAATTAAAATAAATAAATAAATACATAAATCCCTCATTCCATATGATATGATAGACCTCCAGGGGCTCATACAATAAAGAGAAATGACACCTATGCCCCATAAAAACCATAGAAAATAACTGAATCCATAAAATAGGATTTTCCAACTTTGAGTTGGTCGGATATGTTGAGTTTGACTGGGAAACACTGAGAGTTGAAATCCAACACATATGGGAGACAGTAGACCAATGAAAATTGCTATAAATTTAAAAAAACTTAACAGTCTCCAGAATTCTCAGTGATGATACACCTATTTTCTGGAACAAGCTTTAAGCAGTGGCAAAAACAAGTAGTCTTCTTTTTTCCCCCCTACACTCCAGTACTATTGATCAGTCCCATTTCATTCAAAATAGGGCATAAAATTATATCATCAATTGTTTTAAAAAATGCCAGATTCTCAAAAAATTATTTTGAGAGAAGCAAAGGTTTGAGGGTATGCTATCAACAGACTGCATTGAAAGCAAGCAATGGAACTAAAGTAGAAAGAAAGAATTAGGGGTGAGAAAATCTGTATTTTTTATTTATTTTTGCAGATAAAGAAATAGCAAAAATGCTCTTTGGATAAATTTCTATAGCCAAAAAAAGTCTCATTACAAAATGAAAGAAGAGTTTTGTAATTTCTGTAATTAGTGATCACAACTGGAAGAAATTTTAATTTATTTAATATTCCTTGATTAATACTGGCATAATCAATGTATATTCCTAGGAATAAGGGAAAAACCCATTTATTCAAGGATAGAATATTTCACATGAATTCTGTACAACTGACCTCTAGACAAGAACTTATGTCAGTTTGCTATGGCATCTGGAGAACTGATATAAATTATCTGAGCTTCAGTTTCTATGGCTAAAAGTCTACATCAGAAGAATGCTGTAGAATATATTAAAGATAAATGAAATAAGCATGGCCATTCATACATACAGTGTTGTTATTTGAGCTAAATTTCTACATTCTTTGGCCTGTTCAAATTGTTTTTATGGAATATTTGTAAAACCAATCTGGGAAGAATATACTTTTATATTGCAAAAATAAATATGCACATAGGCATCAGTTGCAGCTGGGCAATGACAAGTCTTTTGGCCACAGAAGGTTAAAATGTCTTAAAGGTCATGGATAAGGTTGAATTCCCCCTTAACTTTGCCCCCAATACTTTTGCCTGGCCTTTTCAAGTGCTACAAAATCATGAGATTTGGCTTGATCACCTGAATATTTGTAAAACAAAAGCATTCCTCAACCATCAGGATAAAGAAAGACTGGCCCATTGGAATGGAATGGGCGGGAATATTCATGCCTGAGGCTTCCTGTATCATCCACCTTCCTGGATGGGTTGGGGGGGGGTGGCTTGACCCATTGTCTCCAGCCATGGATTGAGCTATCTGCCCTCCATCAACTCTTTGATTGTTTTACCTCCTTCCCCTAATCCACTCCTTGATCAGACAAGGGTTTGGTCAGGGGAGGGGAAAATGTGGGTGGAGAAGGGATCACAGCTCTTGAACTTGATTGGAGGAGGAAAGCCAATGGTGGGAAGTCACGAGCCAATGGCACCCCAGAAGTCCCAAGCTTTATAAAGCGTAGCGCACTGGGTGGACAGCACAGGATCCCAGAGGAGAGAGATCATTGCTGGTTTTGCTGCGGCTGGTAAGCATGAGCAGAGAAGCGGACTCTGGGGGGCGCTGCTTTGGAAGACTCTTCCAATTGGAAAGGGTAGACCGAATGGGGTGGGGGGAGAGAGACACGCGGGAAATTTAAATTCCCGAGATTCTTTAAAAGAGTTTGGGCGGTAGGGTTGCAAGGAGAGTTGCTGCTGGGCTTCTTATCTCCGATCTCCTGAGCACGTGAGATCTTTCCAGCTTACCTATCTTTTGACCTTCCAAAACTATTTATGGGGCCGGGTGGAGTGAAGGCAAGCTGGAAGCGGAAATTGGTACCCTGCAGAGGGGTGTGGGGTTTTTTGGGTGAATGGGTGGAGAATCGGGCCTGAAGAAATGACATTTCTTTCTCTTTTTATTTACCCCGGCAACTTTTTCCTCAAGACCTTCAATGTTGCTGCTGCCCGCAATGTTGGACAAGGCTAATCTGCAAACGCTCCAATTCCTGCAAATGGTGGCTTTCTCGACGGCAGGAGGGATGCGAAAGGTGATAATGCGAGCAATCCGGGAAAGGGGGGAATCTGAGGAAGTGGAAAACTGAAACGGCCTCTTTTTTTGAGTTTCAGTTAAGGACCACGTGGTTGGAATGGTCAAAGGATCAGCTTTTAAGGTCTTTGTGGGGCATGTTTTGGATCGGTGCTACGTGGGTGGAAAGGTTTTTGGGCAGCCGGGCATCCAACTCTAACCTGCAGATCTGAAACTAAAGAACCCTACCGGCATTTCAAACGGATGAGGGCGCGGTGTGGTCCTGCACATCGCAAGACTTTTTTCCGCTGCCTCGACGCCACCAATATAGTTGCACTGCCTTGTAATCTCAAAAAGAAAGTGCTTCCTTGTATTGGCGTCGTCTTGGTCACGTTGTCTCCATTGCGCGCTGGGGTGTGTGTATGTGCGTGTATCGCAGGAAAAGGCCTTTCATATGGATGTTTTTAAAACTTTGCCCCTCGTCTAATCCAGGTACCTTGCACCATCCGCCGTCCATTGGCCATTACAGGCACTAAGTAGTACGGCGCGTTTCGGCGTATCGCCCCTAGTGGTAGAAAACGGGAGTGGCTGCCTTACGCAACTCTTTTTTAATAAGACGGCCGAGTCCCGCGTACTTTGCCTCGTCCGTATTTAGCAGCAGCGGATTCGCACGTGTTTAATCTTCAACCGTCCCATATAGGCAATCCTTCTGAACCGATGGTAGATAGGATTGTGTTGCTCACACGCAAACTTTGGGTTGCGGGCTGAGGTCAACCACGGACCGGCTATTTGCAGGACTCTCCCAAATAAGGCGGCCTGCAGAGAAACGCCGCGCCCGAGACGGTTTTAAATCGTTGTTTTTCAGGAGCTGAATACAGGGGTGCAAATGTTAACTAAAAGGCCTCCTGAAGCCCACGCAGACAGTGGCACTTTCTTGTAGTAATAAATTCAATTAAGTGCTATATTGTTTGTGTGGGATTTGGGCCTGGCAGAACTACAAGCACTGCATCTTTTCTGCCTTGGCTTTCCTTAACTGGAATGGATGTGCATTTAGTCTTTATTCTGTCTAAATAAATCTTTTTTTCTTGTCTGCAGAACTCTAAAGCCAAGAGAAGAGTCTCCAAGATCCATCTCGCTGACTGGGCCTTGCCCAGATATGGGCACTTTCTTTTTCTAATCTAGAAAGTGCTTCATTGTTTGGGTGAGGCTCTGACTCAGATTCACACCAAATTGGACTGTACTTGGAATGTCTTCTGGTGTCCCATCTTGTGTGAGATGTTCACAAGTTCCTGGAGGCAACTTCACCAGGAGTTCTTCTGTTCTGTATGTGCTCATAAGTGCTCCGTGATGAAGTGGTTTCTAGGTAGCTCAGACAGCTTTCTGGGGCATAGCTCGGCTGCACAATCTTCTGGCTGGGTGCAGCTCAAACTTTAGCACTTTCATGTTAAAGCAACTCTGTAAGTGCTACATTGTTTGGGTAGCTCCCAAATCAGGACTTTCCAAATGGAGAAGAAAAATATTTTTCTGTGTACTTATATATAGCATGTACTTTTATTGAAATGCTGATTTGGATAATTTGGATTTTATCAAATTTCTGATCTATAATAGGTTATTAATAAATGTATTGCATTGCATGTAAAATGTTGAACCTGAAAGTCAAAAATTTTCAATAATGTTGCAAGTAAATATATATTGCAATAAAACTTGTGCGATTCTTAAATGCTCATGGATTACCAAGGGGGTGAATGTGAAGGGATCCTTATTTTAAAGGTCTTTCAACTTGTTGGGAGTTGGGAGTTTGCAACAGAATAGGGCTTCCCAAATTCTAATTTACAAAAGCTTATTCCATAATGGCTTTCCAAAGTGTCACTGGGAAAATGTTCATACCCATTCATATTTCTAATGTTTAACCCACTAAGCAACCTCCTTTTAAAACTGAGATTGGCTAGCTTAACAGTCTTTGGTTGGATGGTTTTATCTTTGGGTAACCCTCTTAACTTCTAGCTACTAAAATTTATTGAAGATTTAATAACAAAGACATCCCTTGACTGTATTTCCAACAATCCCAAACTCAAATTAAATGCATATGGTAGGCTTCAGATTTGCTACTTGTCACTGCCTTAGTCATATCTAGGGATTAGGCAAATTAATTGGGAGGTGATTTCTGATTAAATTAGAACCACAATACTAAATTGTTCAAAGATAAATGAACTTCTAAATGCCAATGCAAAGCTGTGGCCTTGGAAACAAAATTCTGAATTAGATAAAACACCACATATCAAGCAAGAGTTTTAAAGCTTTATAGTTTGAACACTAGATGGGATTATACATGTTCATGCATGGAACTATAGATAAGGATTTCAAAGAAATAATGCTCAGCTTATTACTGGCCCATCCTAAGTCTCACTGCTTCACCTTCACTGAATGCTAAGTTCATCAGAACAATAGTCTCAGTCCCTTTTATAGCTTATTAAATTGCTAGAAATTTATAATGCATGTCTTGGGAGAAAGTCATTAACATGTTTTTTAAAGAAGTTTTATCAATTTTGATCTTTCATGAATTGAAAACGAACATCATAAATCCCAGTCCAAACTTGTGTGAGTTTTTTAATAGATGTCATGTCAATCCTACTGTTTAGATAAGCTTTTTTTATACCACAAGATCAGTTTCTCAAATCAAGAGTCCAAGCTATAACCGCTCCCTCTTTTAAGGGACAATCCAGAGTTTTTCTAAAAAATATATCCAGTAGAGTTGCTTAGCTTCAGGAAGGCAACAGTCCTAGGGCTCTTAAAGCATGTTCATGGCCTTAAGTACCTTCTTTTTTCCCAGTCTCTCATAGTTTGCATCCTTTCAACCAGACAGACAATTGTAGACCTTCACAATTTTCTCTCCAACCCATCCTGAGAGCAAAGGAGGGAGGGGGGAGAGGAGAATCTTATTAGCAAAGTCATAAGCAAATAACACATGGGAAAGAGTACAGAGTATTACCACTAATGTGTAAAGACATACCAGAATATAATCATTGGACTGTGATCCAATATGTCTACCAATATAATTTTAATGAGAAATGCAGTACTGGAATGCTAGATGTGAGTTTTCCTTGGTTGGGAATGTAAGAAGCCTGTGTGGAACTAGAAGAAATGTTATCCTAAATCGGGGGGGGGGGGGGGNGGGGGGGGGGGGGGTAGGCAACCTTGGCTCTGTGGATTTCAACTCTCAGAATTCCTGAGCCAGCATGGCTCAGCATGGAAACCTCTCCATTTCTCCTCAGCATGGCTGGCTTAGGAATTCTGGGAGTTGGAAGTCCACGAGTCATAAAAGAGCCAAGGTTGCCTACCCCTGTCCTAGATTGTCAACAAACTGTCTTGAGTTATTCCGTTCACAATTCAGAGGGAAGAGCTAGTCTCTGCCATCACTCCTGTCCCATTTTCCCTGCCCTACACATTGGAGAAGTCCTTATAATGCGCATCCTAATTGCCTGGGAGAAGCCATGTAATGGAAGAGAGGTTTGTTAGGAAAAAGAAACATCTTGGCAGACATCTTTTCCATGCACAGTGAAATGTGATGGGGTTAGTTAGCGGTGCCCATTCTCCTGCCTCATGAGGTTGCAACTGTGCAAGTAGCTCCAACACAGGGTTAGTCCAGGCTTTGAATTTCTACTTAGCAGTGCTATGCCCTCAGTAATCAAAGCTCCATTTCCTCTTTCTCACAGGATAGATATGGTAGTTGGAAGGATACAACAGGAAGGGAACATGTTTACTATTCAAATTTCTTTGGAAGTATAAAATAAAATAGTTAAATAGCCTGTGGCAGTGGTTCTCAACCTGTGGTCCGTGGACCCCTGGGGGGTGTGATGTCATTGAATAAATGTTGTGATTTGAATCTTGAGGTCTTGGTGGTCTGTGGCCCTGGTCCACAAACGATATCTAGAGGGGATCCGTGGTAAAGAAAAGGTCGAGAACCACCGGCCTATGGAAAATATTAACAATAGTCAAAACATTGTCATTCAGGTGCTGAAATGCAAATTCGATGACTCCATACTTTCGGAATAGTCACTAGATGGCAACACATATGGTAGCCACTGTATGGATATACAGTCTACATACAGTACAGTACAGTACAGTGATTAGCAATTAATAAACAAAGTAAACCCCCAGGGGAAGAAGCTTTGCAAATAGAATGGGAGAAGATGGTTTTTATAAGTTGACAATATCATCTATGACATTTTTGCAAGTGTTATGAAATGTGAAATCGTTGCATCAAGTTATGGTGTTCCAATATTGCAGAGAAAGTGAAGGACATTCTCTTCATCAATTACACTATTGGTGTTCTTAAAACAATACTTTGGGGCTACCATATCTAACCTGCAAAAAAATCCTTAAGACCACTAGATGGCAAACAAGAGACAAGAAAAATTCTACAATTTTATTGCTCCCCCTCCCTCTCCCTCTCCCAAGCTCCGATAGCAGATGATAACTCTTACAGGTAAGCAATTTATAGATTTCAGATATTTTGTAGGAGAAGTATTTAGTGCTGTTACCAGGACTGAGAATAAATGTTAATCAAATGTATGGAACATTAATTTAGATTTGAGATAACTTTAAAAGACAATAATAAAAAAAAGATCCAGTGATTTCAGTAATTATTGTTTTTATTAGTATGAAATTCCATATCTATTATTCAGAGATGTACTTAGTTAAGGAAAGGGTTTCATTCTGATACGTGTAGACCCCTTTATAAAAAAAATAGTTGCCCTCTTCTTCAAGTTATTGTATGTCATTATTTTAGTAATTCATTTTCTTTCTATTGAATTATGTTTTTAGTATTTTCACTTATTCCTTGGTTACTCTCCAGAAAACTAAGCTTCATTCATTAAAGTTCAAAATAGCCTTCTCTAATTGATTATCCTCCTTATGTGTTTGATTTTGAGTCCCAAATCCAGACAATCAGAAAGTTAGAGTTGGAGAAGGCTAGTCCAGAAGATGGAATTAGCAACAAATATTGGATATCAGGACAGTGCTTTGTTAAAAAAAAAAGTCCTCTATATATAAGACAATAGCCAATAGGTTATATACTCCTATTTGGGGTTTGGGTTCCCCCCCCCCCAAGTTCAAATTTCAATCCTCTTTCTAAAACAATTCCCAAGGCCATCGATGGCTTTTCTTAAAAACAGAACAAAAATCATGATGTCCACGCTCAATGTCGGTGGTGCACGTCCACCCATAAGATTCATTTTCCCACTCACTGTCAAAGATAATGCGTTAATGAAGTGTGTCTTTGCAAATTGGTAAGCAAAGGGAGAGAGAGAAGGAGGGAGAGGAGAAGCTTCACTCATTCAGGAGACAGGCTCCAGGCTGAAGAAGGGATGGATCACTGGGGGCGGGGGGGGGCAGGGGGGTGAATCAAAGGAAAGGAGAAAGTTAAGGAGAGAGAAAGGAAGGAGAGGTTCACATCTAGAAGCCAGGGTGAAGAAAATGTTGCAACAATGTGATTTTTTTCAATCCACCAAGATGTTAAAACTCATAGATTTGTACAAGATAATGACAATGAACATAAAAACCACAGGACTTTTTAAATCATCATGACCAAATTAATTAATTAATACTGTAACTAAGTGTTAAGGAAGCCTGTAGCACATAGGCTAAGAAAAACATTTTCTTACACTGAAGATAGTGGTATAGTATGACTGTCACATGCAGAAACCAAAGTTAGTTGTGATTTTGCTGATCAAAAATTATGGAATTTATGAAAATTGACTGCCTAAGGAGAAATTGCAATAAGATATGAAGAGTTTAATAAGATGATGGATCAGACATTTAGTGAAATCAAATGCTAATAAAAACTCTAAATGAGAGTTCAGACAAAGTCAAGGGTACAAGTGAAAAATATTCATTGACTGTCTGGCTTGCCATTTCCATGAATGCTTTAGTGCAGTGATGGTAAACTTATGGCACGCGTGCCAGAGGTGGCACTCAGAGCCCTCTCTGTGGGCACGCGTGTCGTGCCCCGGAGATGGCAAGAGACTGACCCCTGCCGCCCTGGCCCTGCCCACCCAGTCTGCCATGACCACTGCAGCCACGTCCACCCGGCACCTGGTGATAAATAAGTGGGTTTTGGTTTGCAGTTTGGTTACTGGGTCTCTAAAAGGTTCGCCATCACTGCTTTAGTGCTTTCTTCAAAACACCCATGATCACATGGCAAATTACACTACACTTCCAAAAGGATGGGCCAGCAAAAATTATACTTTGGAATTTGTTGAGTGTACTAACCATGTTGGTTTCCAAAATGTGATGAATTATATTGAATGTCTCTTATCACACATTAATGGTAGGTGAAAGGACCAAGGTTCCAATTAGTAAAGTGTGGATTTTATATATCAAGTTTTGCTCCTCTAATACGAAGAGTTATCCTGATGCCTTAACTACACTGACCCTCTAAACAAAATTCTATACTGATAACCAATTGAATCTGCAAAAGATGGTAGCATTCACCTCACATGGTGCAAGAGTCACATAGGGAAAATACACAGGTGTCACAAGAAGGAAATTCCACATCTCACAGAACAACATTGCGTAGCTCATTGGTCAGTTCAAGACAACAAAGATGCATGGGAAAATGTGTCTCTGGTGAAGGATATAGAAATACCTGTTTGCACAGTATATATGTGATATTCCAATACTGCACTAAAAGTTTATAGACTAGTTCTTTGATTGGAAAATATATCATATCAATAAAGAAATTGCCATTTGAGGAAATGGTCCAAATTGCAGAATATGAGGTAGTCTCATGAAGACCATTAAAAGATATATTTTCCAATCAAAGAACTAGTCTATAAACTTTTAGTGCAGTATTGCTCAAAGGAGATAGAGAAAGGAATAGCCAATTACTACAGAACCCATGAAACTACATTGCTACTGCAATTGAAAATGATGTTTTGGCTGAATTGGCAGAAATACCGTATATTGTGCATTACACCAGTTGAGGCTTTGGAGTTTGCTAAGGCCAGAATAGGAAGTCAGCCCCAAAGTTAAAACATTATTACTAGCATTGGAGTAGTGATACTGTTCTGTGATTTCTGAGTAAGTACGTAACCATCTGGATGGCGAACTGAAAGAGTGTATTGCATTTAAAATACCAACATTACAAGAGCAAGATTACATTTTTGGGAATGAAGAAATTCAAAATCTGGTTTGTAAGTAAGTATGCAAAGATTCTGAAATTGTCATCTATGACTCATACTCCTAATCAAATTTCTGCGGATGAGAAAGACTTATCAGAAGTGAAAATGCATATAATGAAAAAGTCCATTTTCCCCCCCAAAGCACAGGTTTAAATTTGTTGGACTGGAAAAGATGAAAATTGGCAAACTTGGATTCAAAGTTAACCTTGACTAAGATGGATATGTTTATATCTATCCCTCTTAATAGATACAATAACTTTTTTCTGGAAAAGTGCACAAGAACACACCACAAAAACTAAGAAGAATCAACAATTGGTCACGCTAATAATAAAAATAATCACTGATAAATTTGATTAAAAATATTAAATTTAAGCATGCCTATTTAAATTACTTTTTTAAATTGTTTTGATTCACAGATGTAATTTACGTACAATTATGTAATCAGTTGAATAAAAATATTAAGTTCTCATTTAAAAAGTAATGTAACTTAGGGAGCTTTATATGTAGAGTATATTGTGCACTTCCCCCCCCCAAAAAACCCACTGCCTCCTGGCCCAGGAAAGGCCAACCCAATTGCTGCTTAGAAGAGGTCATGCTTTGTGCATCTGCTTGCCTGTCTTAAGAGGGATCATTGCCCCTGCCCCAAAAGATTTTACCAAGATCCCAGGCCTCTGGGTCCTTGTGCAATCCGCATGGCACAGACGATATCATCGTTGATGTTACTTGTCAGCAGATCTGTAATTACAGAGAAGATGGTGTAAGGTGCTGAGCTGTAGACTCCTGTTCCTTCAGAGCTATAGAATTCCTGGAGGGGCTTCCTCAACCACCTGCTTAGGACACTATTTAGGAGACCTTCTAGCCTAGTCTGAAGTTCAGTACATCTCACCCTTACAGCAGCCCCCAAACTATCTGGCGGAGAGGACCAGCATATAAGAAAAAAAATATTAGTAAAGCTTGCTTGTAAGTTCTCTATAATTAACTAGTGTTGCTTTTATCCAAGCATCTTCTAAAAATGGGAGATAATTCTCTTAGGTTTTTTCATGTTGTATACTTGAGCCATTCAGTATTCTGACTGACAGGTATACATAGTTCAATGACTTTATACCAATAAACAAAGGCAGAATTACCCACTGAATGGTAATTCTTATACTTAATGATAACAGCAAAGGCTGAGCTAGAATGGTGCAATCCTGCCTCATAGTGACTTTTCCTTAAACGGCTGCAAGGCAGCCCAGTTAAATGTCACTGTATAGAACTGAAGCCAACCCACTTTAGAGCTCACCACTGCAATGCATTTGGCAGATGTTTGGTTTAGTGTGTTTATAATCTTCACACCAGATGTGACTGTTAATCTGAAAGATGCCATTACTGGTGCTGCCATCAGCTTCATGGTCCACAAGCGCTGTGTCAAAGTGGCTCTCATAGAAGGCTAAGCAGACCCCTGTGGTATGGAGAAGGAAAAATGAGAACTTAGTACTCTCTTTCCAATTTAACACAACATTTGATCTAGGAAAAAGCTTGATGCTGGCACTTGGAAAAGGTACATGAATTCATCAAGCCTTTCTGAATACAGACCTTTGCTTATCGTAATGGTTTTGGTACAACTGTTCATGGGGATAAGTAAGTCACCAGCTGTTCTTAAACTATGACTTCCATCCCCTTGTTGGTTGGCCATGTTGACTGGAGCTGATGGAAGCTGGATCTCAATATTTGAAGGGTGACATAAAATAAGAGTCTGTTTTTTGTCCTTTTCTTTGGAAGATTAGTTTGTAACAGTTTGGATCGCAACTTTTTTCTGCTCACATGTAACTGTCAAAATGTATCAGTCTAGCCAATAGAACTACATTTCTAAATAATGGGTTCAGCACTGTACACAAGGATAGCTCTGGGGAAACGGCAAAGAAAGGATGACAGACTCACAATCAGCCAGACTGTATCCACGATATCCCTCCAAGCCAGATTTCTTCAACACTCGGGCCAATTCACAGCGTCCAAAGATCTTTCCCCCAACACAAAATGAAAGGCATGTGAGGAGAGACAGAAGCAAAAGATACTTCATCCCTAAAAAAACATTGAGTAGAAGAAACACTATCCCAAGTGAAGGGCTGATAAGGTGAAGGCAGGAGGTTCCAAGGTGGCCTATGGGGAAAGAAAAATGTATTATGGACCTTCACAGGCAGTTAGAGATTCAAGCAGCTGGACCATTCATTCCATTTATTCCATCCATCCATCCATCCATTCATTTATTCATTCATTCATCTTTCCCTTGTTTTCTCTCTAACTGCTAGGACCTGTCACCTGTGGGCCAACTTAACAAAGTACATGTTTTATCCTGATGCTTCAGTGCTTCCCTTCAAAGGAAAACATCTGGCAGTTAATATTTGAAATGTTATAGTCGGCAAAACTCTATGCTTGTGCTTCAGTTTCACTGTTTTCACCTTTTAATTTATTTTTCTTTGGAAAGTGCAGTTAGCTGTAGAAAATGCGCAGTTTTTCATACAATTACTCATTCTATAGGATGACATTCTCCTAAGATCTTGCAGATCTAATCTTGGCCAGAATTCAAGAACATTGTCATTCTACGCATACTTGTTCAACCACGGTATCTGAAAGACATCAGTCATGGTAAAGATTTCTGGCAACCCAAAATCTCAATGAATAACATTTTATTTCTCTAGTTCACAGATGGAGATCTATTCCCCTCCCCACTATGCCAGAGAGATACCTTTGACTTTTGAGGACACCCTCTCACCTCAATATTCTGCTGAACTGCAATTCTTAGCATTTTTTTTTCCTTAGGCCATGTTATAGTTACAAGGACTGTTCAAGTACATCCACAGGTCTCAGATTTCCTACCCAATATTAATCTTATATCCCATTTGTTCTAAAGAAACCTAGCTCCAGCTCTGACTAGAGGTGCAGATAGGTCACTACCAGCCTTAATTGCCTTATAGAAGTTCTCTTTAGCTGGCTACACATATTACTTCAGTGGCAATCAGCACAACTAACACTTCTCTTCTCCCCTGCCCAAAGTTCCTCCGTGCAATGACTTCTAGGTTCCTGTGACCTTAGAGCAGTCCTTCCAGACCGTAGCAACTTAAAATGTGTAAACTTCATCTCCCAGAATTCCCCAACAAGCATGCTGGAATATTCCGGGAACTGAAGTCCATAAATCTTAAAGTTGCTAGGTTGTGAAACACTTACAGCAAAAAAAGAAAAAGGAAAAAAAAGGAAGGAAGAAAGGGAGGGAGGGAGGGAGGGAGGGAGGAAGAAAGGAAGGAGGGTCAGTTCAAATACAGTTTCTTATTTTAAACAACTTCAGTCATTATATCATTTTTACTTCCTGACTCCTGAAATAACAGGCATTCGTTTCTGCTGCCTGATGCATTTACACCGAATATTACTTTTCTGTTGTAGCCTTTAACATATACATAACACGAGCAATTACAGATATGTATTAGTTTGAACAAGTAAAAAAACCCTAACTATAAAAGTTGTTTTAAAAATAAAGAGGGGGGGTCACAATACAGTGCACCAGTGAGCACTAAAGCCCCATGGTAGTTGCTATTTTCATTCTCCTCATTCTTTGACTGGTTATTGGGGGTCCTAGGCTGCAAGACTTAGGCCAGCCCATGGCACAGCTTTAACTGCACCACTGCTGGTGTAGGATTATAGGTGGTCTCAGGCTAAATACCACAAAATAAGAAGGGATTTTTGTCAGAGGGGGTTTTTTTCCATCTTACTCCCCTCCCAAAGGCAGCTGTTACACCAATTCATTGAAAAGCCAAATTAAAAAAATACAACTGCCTAAACTCTCCCACTCTTTCAATTCTGCCCCAGCCTCCATCATCCAAAGTGCTGTCAGATGAAGCTTCCCTCCAATTTCTTATCCAAAAACAAAAGCAAACTCCTCCCCCAAATCAGAACTGAAGAAGCTGTTTGGATGAGAAGCGAAATGTCTTCAAGGAAAATCAAAGTCCAGTCGTCTTTTGAAGAAGCACCTTTGGGTCAACCATGACCTGGATGACTGAGAATCTCCATAGACTTCCTCCCCCAAATGTTCCTCCCCTTTCAGAAATTTGGGGGACAATATACTAGAGTCAATTTCCTTTAGATATTTGGAGACAGACCCTTATCATTCCAGCACATTAAACACATATAAAAGGCCTAGGCCCTGTTTCTCTTGCAGAAAAAAACTACAATTAAGAAATCTAGCTTTATGCACCTCTTCCCTTCTGTTTGTCTCAGAAAACCACATGTCCATCCCAGAGCAGCAGATAAAGGTCAGTCTAGAGAATTCATACCCAACCTGGGATTTGTACTACCCTTACTGAAAGCCACTTACTGAACAATCATTGAATAAGTTAGAAGAACAGTCTGATTCTCTCTAGAATTGAAGACGGGGTTCTAAGTTACAGGTACTTCTAGAACCCAACTAGACTTCTGTGACATTACACTGTGTTGACTTGAACATTCTTTTACTTCTGCCTTGGACTCTTGCTGCAACTTGCATCCTCTGGCTTTTCTTTACTAGTGATGCTCAGACCATTAGACATAGCTGTTGATATAATGACACCTAATCCTGAAATTTTTTGCTATCTTTTTGTGTCTTGCGGTACAGAAAACAGGACGATAAATCCACGTAAATTGTGGCCTGAGACAAGGCCAGTATCTTTGGAACAAGGGATAAAATTGCAAAGTCATTTGGTGACACTGTAGCACTTTATTGTTGAATGTTGTGTGGTCCCAGTTCCACATATTCCAATATGGTACTCCTTGTGAGCTACCTCTCTATGTGCTTAAGTTTAAGTTTTATAGCTGACATTGGTCAGGATAAGGCAATTATCTAATTAAGACTACATTCAGCTAAGAATATTCTACTAGTCCATAAATATCTATCACTCAAGTGCCAATATTTTATAAGACAAATATAATATAAAGTATATGATATAAAGCAGAGTTTCCCAAAGTGGTCAGTATTGACTCCCCAAGGACTATCAAAGGGATTATCCAAGGAGTTGATAAATGGCTGGAGGGCAAAAGGGGGTCAGTAAATATCTAGGGGTCACTAGGTGATTGATAAATAACGAAAAGTCAATTGGGGGTCAATTAATTTTTTGGGGTCTCTGTAGAGCTCTACACCAGTCCCAGGTCCTGAAGGTTAGTGGTAAGACTCAACCATCAACTAGAGCAGCCTTGAGTTGTCTCTATTATTATAATGAATTATTATGATTTGTCATACAATCAGCCAGATGTTTAGACTGGATTTGGTATTTTTATCCCCCTATCAAGTCCTTCCCAAGGATTTGGACTAGGCAGATGTTGTTTGATGGTATTAAAGATATTGTCACAGGATATAACCTGTTTCAGGTAAAGCTGCCTGTTACAATTAACTTATGGTGATTTTGTCAATGCTGATGCTGTTCAAGTGGCACGCCAGTTGTTTTGCGATTGCACCCAAGGTGCATATTACCTATATTGGTACTGTCTTTGCTTTCTTTTGCCACAGTTGTTTTACTTCTAGTTGTAAGTCTTTTGATTTTTGTGATTTAATTCTGGATAATACCATTATTATTGTTTGTAGTACTAGTTAAAGTATTATTTATTAAATCATTTTATATAATACATATTAGGGGGTCACTGAGCAATCTGTAATGTCAAGAAGGGCTCAGTGAGCTGGTGCTTGGGAACCCCTAATGTAAAGCAGTCTTAAAATAAAAAAAAGTTAATCTTGTTTCCAGTGTTGTACATTAATGGTTCTAAATACAAATTAAATAAAGACTACAAGTGTAAAGTAATTTCTTTTAAAAAAAACAACCCATAAAATGTAAAAGAAAAATAGGATAGGATCAAGCTCAGGAGGGGAAAAAAACAACAAGCGAAGGAGGAGTGGATAACATTTTACTTCTAGTTGACATGAGTCTGTAGCTTCTCCCTTCTGAAGAAAAAAAGGTCTTTTAACATCATTCTTAAACAGAAGGGGAATAAAAATAAATAGAAAAAGCTGTAAGGAAGGGGGAAAGAGTAGAAAAGAGAAAAGAAAGAAAAAATTCAGATACAACATAACCTGACAATATACCAAGCCACTAAACAAGAAACGGGAACAAGCTAGTTAATATGTTACAGTTCAGATGAATTCAAGTGTTCAGGAGGAAAATGTGAAGGTATCAGTTTTAAATCCTGTTAGAAAGTCTTTTACTGAAGCAATTCAAGAAGGGGATTTTTTTTTTAAAAAAAAATTGATAACAATAAAGGCAATGCCACTCATTTTTTCAATATTTGAGGATAGAAATAAGGAACTGAAAGAACAGAAGTATCTACTGTTTTAGCTTTAAATCCCATTAAAAGAGTGTTAGCTGAGACTGGTGTTTGGAACTTTTTGCCTCTTCCCGATAGTTGATACAAAATATAAGACAGAAGTGCATAAAATAATGTAGCTGGGCAGATTTAGCAAGATTCTGTCCCTTGGAAGTTCCTTCTCTCCTTAGAACATTTGAGTAGATAGATACTTTATTCTTCTCAGGACCACACTCCAATTGATGCTGACTCTTGTCTAGATCTGTGTGATATCCTACATCTTGTAGTAACATGCAGAAATTCAACAGTAGCAATGCTTGAACTGGTCCCAGCAAAAAACTTCACATCATGGAAACTATTAGTTGGAGATGGTAGTGAGAGCTTATGTCTCTCTTTTTTTTTTCTCTTTAAATTACATGAAATTCTTCACTGCATGGACCATATTTAATCAAAGCAATACAGTGTAATATGTCACTGTACATAATTCCTTTGCTCTAAATATGTCAATTAAAACCAAAAGGTTTCTCCTGCAACATCAGCATGAGCTGGATCACCACCTTTTATATCAAAAAGCAGGAGAGAAAGGTGTCCAAGTATTTATTAAAATAATTTTTTTTGCCAATTATGAGTTTTGAAGTCAGTTTAAGAACCAATCTCTTTTCTTTCAAAGTAATAACCACAGAAACTAATAAACCTTTAAACAGATCCAAAATAAGGCTCTAACCTTGAAGATCAAATGAAAGGCCAGGAGATGGTGATATG